GGTCTCACATAACAATAACAATAATTAAATCAAAAAGTCTTATATTTCTTGATACCACATTATTGTAGATGGACATGTGTTGGCTTAAAACAAGATCAGTGCTCAATTTTAAGGTTTTTTTTGGGTTGTCCGGAGGACAACCAAGAGAGTAGCATATGGTTGTCCCTCAAGAGTTTTGGTTGTCCGGATATTATTTAAACATGTGTTGCATGTGCTCTGCTCACGTGATGCTCAGTGCTGTAAAGCAAAAGGCCTAATCATGTACATTTTGTACGTATTGCAGTGACAGCAGACATGGCCATTCGCATTGTTTCACTCATTATATGAAGAGAATAAAATATTGGTAATGTGGTAAATGATGCTGGGATGAATGATGTATAATAATAGTAATTAAAAGTTGCATGAAATTTATTTCATAACATTTACATTAAGTTAACTAACACAAGTAACATTACTAACACTGTGTCAAGTCACAGATGAGTAAAAATTGAAAATCAACACGAAACATTGTGTTGTTAAACACGTGATGTTATACTTTGTATCAAGCAAGCCAGACAAAGCGTCTAGACATGTACGTTTGCAGCGTATTGTGCAACCATGGCCATATGTAAAATGAACGCGGCATTATGAATATAAATTTTTTTTATAGAGGTTGGACACCGGACAACCACGGAAGCAATTTGTAGTTGCCCGAGAGAAAATCCAGTCGACACGGACGACCGGACGACTGTTAAAATTGAGCCCTGCATATGCAAAATGGGGCATGCTAGTACATTCTGAGGCACAATTTTTACATGAACTCAAGACCAATTATATTCATAAGATATCTACAACAAACCCAAAAATTTAGTGTACACCTATTTTAATGGTACTACAAAACTGGTGAAAATCTACAATATATTTACTAACGTGGACTAGTATATCTCACCTTAGAACAAATACTGAGGTTTAATTAAAAAACATTTTAATGGTTTTTCACAAACTCAACGATTCCATAGCTACAGATTTGAATATTGAGACAAGGAGTTCCTTGCATACATAGAAAAATCACACCACTGAATGTTGACTTTCATATATCTCTGTAGCTCACCCATAGCCGCATGATAAGAAGCATTGCACAGAGGAGAGTATGGAGGCTCGACCAGATGTCCAGCTCCAGGATACAAGCACACCTCATAGTTATGCTTGCCATGCTGTGACATCCTATCAGCAGAAGCATGAGCTTCCTTTTCCGAAACGCATCTGTCATCACCACTGGTTACAAACATGATCGGAGCATCTGCATTTTCGACCTAGAGAAATTAGTATGCACAATTGACATTTGTCCTTTAAAAGATACTACTACTAAATTTTTAATCTAGAAAATAATAATTTAAAATGTAAAACAAGTGCATTACTATGGCAAGTAAAGAGTATAGTGACGTGAGTATAGTAAGTACGAGTACCCGTATTAACGTGGTTCTGCCTTTTCTCAATTTCACAAAAAATAAGGGCCTGGCCAATAAAACAAAGTGTAGTGACAGGCCTGCCCAATTAAACAAAGTGTAGTGACAGGGCCTGGCAATAAACAAAGTGTAGTGACAGGGCCTAGCAATAAACAAGTGCCATCAACATGCAATCAATACAATAGTTAACAAATAAATTACAATCCTTTCACATGTTGGTAAAGTATATTGATGTACGAGTGTTCTAAGACATGTTAGTCTTACTGTAGACACTTGTTCAAAATTCTTACTTTAAGTGGTATGAGCTAGATAACAGGAAACGAAAGGAGAGTAAAAACTCCAACCTCAAAGTATTCTAAGCGAATGCCATCCAAATTCTTAGGCAGATCCTTGTAATATATATATGGAAGGCAAAGTGTTGCAAATCCCCTGGAGGCAAGCAGAGACAGACCTGAATGTCACAATGTTTCCCACATCCAAACATGTCTATGACACCAGGAAAATGGTCCAGTACTGTCAACATTCACTGATTAATTAGATCACTTAGATTTAATTACTGATGGTAATTGAAAACAAGATAACTACCTGACAATATTTCACAATACTGCCACACCCTACAGTAAAGGCATGATAACACTGAAACAGTGAAAGCTTATCAATGTACCAATTGGGTGCAGACATTCACCTTCTGGCAAAAAACAGCCTTCCTCGTATACTTCCATGATTTATCTCTTGCACACTGACTCCCTTTGCCAGGTACGACCTTTCAATGGAAGTAAGCGCCAGTATAGGTGTTGCTGTGGTCAATGTCATCTACTATGATGAATCCATCATAAACTCTAAGCGTCGAAAGTCAGCGGAGTTGTGACATCTTTCTTTATCAACCTGAGACCCTTCTTCTGCCCAGGCATTGGAACAAGCTGCAAGAATAGGCCCATTGGCATCACTATCTGGAATGGGGAAAACCGTCATTCACGTTTCATCTATAGAATACATTTAGACAGAATACTCAGCAATAATAAATTATCATAGGACAGAATATTGCCCAAATAACAGATTTACATGCTAATACATCACACTGTGTACGATCCACCCATAGAGGATGCAGACTGAGATCCACCAAACCATTGCCATCTGCTTTAAAATGTGCATAAGAAACCGAATTTAATTTTGTCCTCCTGGCAGGTGTGCTCCAACGGTGACTTGCTGATTGGGTTCAAGTGGTTGACCACAATCTTACCACATCGTCTACAGAGAGCCTTCTGCGGAATAGCCTAAATGATTGCTTTCATTCTTCTGTACAAAACAAAACAAGACAGCACAAATAAATTATCAGCCGACTTGACAACGAATTTTATGGCTGGACAAATATTGCCATATATAGAATGAACGCAGATCAAAATATTTTATTATTCCTGCTATTAAAATCGATTGAAGAAATATGCTCATTGTACAACATAAAGAAACACACCAAAAAAAGATAAACAATGGGATATAACTTCACAATATTTTATTACTGAACACAAGTCAATTATAAGTCTGTTAGATATAGCAAGTTACATTATCCATCAGTAACACAATAACTGGTCATTAAAATTGCAAAACATTATCAAGATTACACACTGTAATCCATGCCAATATGAAGTTCAATCTCGTAAGTAAGTAAATATTTTAACATCTTGCAGAAATGACGTGGAAGATACTGAGGAATAGATATTTACTAATTTATGAACACTTGTTCTCTAGTTATCAGGCTGCTCATTCCATGGTGCACCTATAGAAACTGTGGCACATTTACTTTGATTGCAACTCAGAGGTGCCCCATGTACATCAATTTCTTGATTGAAACACAAAGACTTTAGACTTTTAACAACACCACATCAGAATGGGGGGTTATTGTTAGAGGAATCCCGAAGGGGATATTACTGGGACCGTTACTATTCTGCATATACATCAACAATATACCAAACTAACTCGAAAAATGTGAAAACTGAACCCGACCCAAATATGCTGACGATATCATGTATATACGTCACAAATTTCTGATCCAAAGAAGCTGTTAATACACTGCAAATGAATGTGGAGAAATTAAACAGGTGTTCGATAACCATAATTTACAAATGAACCGCAGACAAAAACGAGAATTCATGCATTTTGCCCCAACAGTAATAAAATTGTGGACACTAACAAAATTGAGTTGGAATTAAGTAACAGTAACTAATTTTTAGGTATGAAAATAGATCTATCAGCAATGGAATGACGCATACTGACTACATAGTAGACAGACGAGTCCAAGTATTAGCTTCCTCAGACAGATAGGGAAACTACACACAAAAACAAAGCTGCAAATACTCGTCACTCTGGCCTGTCGCACCTCATAATAATGGATGTACACTGCTTATAAATCTCCCAAATCAGCTTTAGGATTAACTAAACACACTACATTAATTATGGCTCTATGCCCATTATAACAGGTTATTCCCACAAAAACGAATTTTATTATTTTAACTGCTCAACACTATTGCATTTATCAGATTTTTTCTACATGAAAAAGACTGTTGTCCTCAGTATATACACGTAATTGTATTTGAATTACATGCAATAAAGATTTAATAATAATAATAATAATAATAATAATAATAAATGCATGCCCTAGCTTCCAACCCCAGCTTTCCAGATATTTCAATTTCTGGCTTTACAGCTTGCTAGATGTTGCTGATGACGGCTGCTGAAGATGCTTCCTGAAGAACTGTATAATTCTCCTCCCAGCTGTCTTCCCTGAGCAAAACTGTGTGCTTTAAGTTCACCTCCCATGCCATTACGACACCTACAAGGAACATCAACAATGTGGTTATATGTTAAACACTTATTCACAAGTCAGCAAAAAATGTGTTCATGGATGTAATTGCTTTAAAAATGTTAGAGACTGAACAATTCTGTCACGCTCTCTCAATACAAAGGGGTCTGGGGCATACCCTAAAATCTTTTTAGAAAATTGTGTCAATTACTGAGAAAAATTTCCACATGGTCTATGGTCTACTACTAAGAGGTCTAATCTTTATCTTAGTAATATGCTAACTTATTTAAGAATATGAGAGGTTAAAATATGCTCCTTGATTAGAATATACAAATGACATTCTATAGAAGCATTTGTTTAGTGTAAAATTGGTGTAAAGTAAATGAATTGTAGTAGATGTAATATAAGGAGTTGAATAAAGTTATATAAACAATAAAAACTTACAATATCCTCCTATTAGGAAAAGGCTTATCCCCATACTGTATGAATGAACCGTGGATAGAATTGCCATTGATGCAAACCACGGCCTTTATCTGCAAAAGAAACAACAACGACAATAATTAACACCTAACCATACAAATGCCTACCCCATTGACAACCAATGCACACAAAATAAAAATAGCCCACATTACATGATATCATGAACATATATATATGCCTGATAATATAGTATACACACATGCTCGCACGCATGCACACATGCACACACGCACGCACGCACACACTGGTATTTATGCTAAATATATTTATATTGTTTTGATAATAACTCTTGATCAACCTTGTGTTTGTTTCTTGTGTAAGCAGCCATGCACAGTCCAATTTCTCCACCGAGAGAAACGCCTATTGTTCCTATTCCGTTTTTCAATACCAGTGGATGACTACTGAACCAGTCAACAGCTTCCTATAATAATAGAGGCAACATATGAGTTATCTTCTGCGAAAGGGCCATGCCATGTAGCTATGGGCATGAGAGAAGTGTCCAAGTTGAAATGGAGTGCAAGTGCAGGAATAGACGACAGTGTGGAAGTATGAAATCGAAAAATACGCATCAAAATGTATTCACACAAATTACTGATTATGCTACTTATTATACCAGTTAGAAAATTACTAAGGATTTATACCGTTAACATATATAAAATGGCAAATATTGCAATCACATTCTTCAATGTTGCAACAATTGCCTCGTGAATGATACCACAGACACCATTTCTGACAAAAGTGCATCTGCTTCTGTAACGTAAGAACAGAACTGCATTGTAGACTGGTATTACTGCATCACTATTACTTAATACAGGTTACTATTATTATTAACAAAGTGTAGTGACAGGGCCTTAAAATGTAAAACAAGTGCATTACTATGGCAAGTAAAGAGTATAGTGACAAGTACGAGTACCCGTATTAACGTGGTTCTGCCTTTTCTCAATTTCACAAAAAATAATAAACATTTAACTGTTCCTGACATATGTATGCACTATACTTAGGCTCATAGGGTCTATGTCCCACAGGGTACTGCCGGAACGTACCTTGGTAACTATCTGATATGGTTAGGGTTAGGGTCAGGGTTAGGGTTCGGGTTAGGGTTAGGGTTAGGGAGTAGGCGTAGGCGACTCCCTAGACTCGTTAGTAGAGTAGGCGAGGTACGGCCCGGCATATTAGATAGTACCAGGGTACGTTCCGGCAGTACCCTGGGGGACATAGATCCTCTCAGCTATACTTAGTTTATGGTCCTAATTCTGTAACTGGTTTGACTTCTTATATATTTAGTAAAATTGTTATTCTACAAACATATTCTCCTTGTTTTCTTGGTAGCAACTGAAAAAGGATGGCAACTGAAATAAATAACATATCTAACAGAGAATGTGCAAATGCAATACCACTGTTTGTACCTGAATCAGGCTATCTTGTGGTACTTCACTGTTAACATCTGTTAATGATATGCCTTCATCATACTCAACGACTTTGTAACCTCTGAAACAGATGGAATAAAGAATATTCGGGCATTGATTGAATCACGTAACACACTACATGCCGACGAGAATGCACACGCTGTACACATAAAATCTATTTCATTGTGATCATTGATGCTGATCAATTTGCAATCTGGTATGAATGAATGGCATTTTCCCCAATTATGTCACCAGTACTATGCATGTAAAGAACAGATGGTGGTGTAATCATAATATAACTGCAAATTTTTTATTCACGCCAACAAGTACATCCACACCACTTCCAGTATTATCAACCATATTGGTGACCTTAAAATTCAGGTACACATGAAGGCTTGTATGACTAAAAATATTTATATATTGCATACTCACTCTGTCTTTGTGTTGAGGAAGTATTCCCCTTTGTTTCTAATAAAAGCACCATGAACTGTATTTCCATTTATGGACACGACAGCCTTAACCTGTGTAAAAATAATAGAAGACTTAAAGAGAATAGGCAGCAATTAATTAATATTGTTCTAGTAGACTTCCATATAATGTGCTAATGCTGTAATACAGGATCAGCGGATTGTATCCTCACCTTATGTTTGTTTTCCATGTAGGAAGCCATACACAGTGCAATCTCCCCGCCAAGAGAAACTCCCATTGCACCTACTCCATATGGAAGAACCTGTGGATGACTACTGAACCAGTCAACAGCCTCCTACGAAAAGATCAATTTTGCATATGAAGTATACAGTGGCTACGCGTTTGTACTATAGGATGGAGCCTGTTGTGGGAATCAGTGAAAAACAGTACTTGTACTCTGCCCAGAGCAGCACTTAGTAACAATTTTCAAAAATTCCGATATGGCATCATTACAGAAATACAACTGATGCAGCGCTTCCATGGTTAGAGTACATGTATATGTTCATAGTAATAATTATCATGAAACAATTTCTGTGTATTATTATATTAGAAATGAACAACTTTACCTGAAAATATTCCAGTGGGATTGCAAAGTCAGTTGGTAGACCTTTATAACCCATGTATGGTAGGGCAAGAGCTGCAAACCCCCTTGAGGCAAGGAGTGCAGACCTGAACGTGACAATGCCACCGACAGATCCAAACATATCAATGATGCCTGGAAATGGCCCAGGACCTGAAAGGATAGTATTAATACAGACTTAAATAAGATCCCTCTTAGTATAGTATATCCACATATTCAAAAGGCATAATAAACTATATATTTATGTGCCTATTACAATATAACAAGAGGTTCGCACAGATTAAGATGACACTATAGAAATATGAAAAATAAAAACATCACTAAAATGGTCAGGCTTTTAATGCCATCGCTAACCATATACGAATAGATTTACTCCAACTCTTACTAAGAAATTAACTACTCACCTTGTGGCAAAAACAGCCTCCCTCGGATGTTTCCATGTTCTACCTCTTGCACAACTACTCCATCAGCCTTGTACCACCTCTCTAATGTAGTGTTCGCTAATAATGATGCCACATGATGTGTGTCAGCTATATGGTGTAACCCATCATATACTCTAAGGTCAAATGTCATTGGAGTTGCTACATCTTTCTTAAGCAACCTCATACCCTTTAATTGTCCGGGTACAGGTAAGAGACTGCAGAACAGTCCCATTGGCATCACATCTGCAATGAAGATTGAAATAAAATAGATCTTTGAGTGTCTGAAGTCAAACCCAAAGTAAATTACAAAACGAGTTATGAAACTTGCAGTAAAGTACGCTTGTTCTTGGAATCCCACATATTACTGGAATGCAGAAAAGCATAACCCAAACACATTTCCTAGTTAGAATGAAAAATAGCGTGGTAGGATTTCTCTTTTTAAACTATTCGTTGTAGTTGTACAGCATGCATACAACACAACAATATTTTTGACCCACACAATTATTTTGCATTATATAACATCTCTAGTAATGGAATTATGCAAACACCCTCAATGTTGCACAAATATATATCTCATAATTTACCTGTGTAGGATCCACCGATAGAAGGATGCACATCAAGATCGACCACCCCTGTTTGGTCTGCTTTAAAATGTGCATAGGAATAAAACACTTTCTTATCTTCCTGTAACTGAGCCTCAATGGTCACAGGTTGCCCTGGCCTTAACTGGTTGACAATAATCTTCACCACTTCATCGACAAGAGCTTTCCGTGGGATAGCCTGAATTGTTACCATAGCTGTGGCCACTTGATGCACAGAAAGCTAAAATATTGATAGAAAATGTCGATAAAATCAAGCAGCCGACTTGTACTCTCACTCTCAACACTTGGGTCTTAGTATAATGATACACTAATTTACATATCTCTCTATCCCTGTAACCCTTACTGACATGGCTTAACCGATGCTACAACCAATGAGTAATTCAATGAGTAACAATGCAACGCATGTAAGATTAGAATGTTTAAAAAATGCTACTAGAAGGGGTGTATTAGAAATTTGTTCTTATCTAAATGTATTCACACTAACTACGTATATAACTGCAGTTTAAAAAACCATGAAATTTCAAACAAATGAATATATAATTTTGATGCTAACTTCATATGTCAATTTGGTTGCGTGTCTACACAGAGCCGACCTCCTTATACATATACTTACAGGTCACATCAGTGTTGATGTACATTCAAAATTATAGTTCTTTCTTTTAATTTTCTAGACACCCATACAACATTTTTCATGTGATCAGTTGTAATGACAATTTTTAGGTCGATCTTATACTTTAGGACTCCAGTTTTCATAGTGGATTTCATCTAGGAATTAGAATAGAGTTATGATCATCATGACGATGATGTTGATGACAACAAAGACGACGACAATGATGATAACAATATAATAGGATATGATGATGATGATGGCGATATGATGACAATGATCATAAATAAGAAGAAAAAGAAAAAAAAGAAAAAATAAGAGAAGACGAAAAAGAAGAAGAAGAAGAAAAAGAAGAAGCAGAAGAGAAGAAGAAGAAAAAGAAGAAGAAGAAGAAGAAGAAGAACAACAACAACAACAACAACAACAACAACAACAACAACAACAACAACAACAAGATGGAAGATTCTGATGGCAGCTTCTTAAAATGAAAGTGTCAATGACACTGTTGCTCACCTTGGATGTGATAGAAGAGGGAGATGGGATATATAAAGCAAGAGTATATATATGGGAGAACTCCCATTATATAGCATATCTCCCATTATATACTCTTGATAATGATATATGCACAAGGTTTGATGCGAAAATAAATGTTTCAGATCTGAAAGTCTGAAATCTTGACGAGAGATGGCGCTACGCCTAAATGATCGCCCTTTTGGTTTTCGAATATCGCGCAAATAAAAACAATAACATATTCCAGTCAAATTACTGTAACG